CCCTAAATTTCTCCATCTCATGGGCTTCCCTTCCCTAAGCTTATCTAACCCTGCCATTCGGCCATGTGCTCCCCTACACACACACACCTTGCTCCTCCTTTCTTGCTCTCCCCTCTCATGACCGACGACAGTACACCGGCCATATCTGTCTACTACCTTCTCTCCCTGCTCTAGACTGTTCCAGATGCCTCTGGCTATACCTTCCCTCATAGCTACAAAAAAATCCTTCTCCTCAAGCATACCTGGGAGCAGTCATGTTTATACCACTTAGGAGGATACTTCTGACACAGATAGGGTGAGTGAGAATACAGCAGCCAAGTCAATCCCAGGCAGGCAATGGCTCTGACAATGCTCCAACAAAGCAAACTTGGCAGAGTAAACAACCACCTCTGTACCTCACCTCTATTTTCTGGCCCCCAAGTTCTACCTGCCCACATTGCAGGGCTGAGCTGTGAGACTCTGTGTTCTTAAGGCAGCCTGAGGTATGAAGAGTTCTTTGCTCAAATACTGTTAAGTTTAGTTCACCTAAATTATTTCCTTTAAAAGCTCCATATTGATGAAGCTGGCTTTCTAAGCCTTCAAGATCTGGCTCTGCCTAATTACCAGATTCTTTTGATATGGTGCCCTCTAAAATCCTTGCTCCAGGTTTAAAAATCATCTCTTGTGTCCTTCAAAATACAGGCTTCAAGCATTTGCACATGATGCTCCTTCTACCTGGAAACCCTTCCCACACCTTTTCTTGCCCTCTGGTTTCAATTTAAACATTACTTTCTCAGGGAGATCTCATGTGATGCACATAATTGTCTCAAAAGCTTTCTTTCGTTAATGCAACATACTCTCAATCACTTGCTTAATGGCAATCTTTCATAAAAGCAGAAACAACTTAAATGATGGTGTATTTTTCTGTTTTGTCTACTGCTATAGCTATGGAATTTTAATAGTTTAACCAATTAGCATATAACTGGTTGAATGAATCAATTAACAAACAAGTATAGAGACCCAAATGATGGTTAGCCAAAGGTAAGGACCAACCTAAGAAAGAGAGGATGGAGTGAATAGTTAACAGTACAGGAGTGCAGCTGAATAAGAGGGGTAACTCTTCATGATCTACAGCACAGCAGGGTAACTATGATTTACAACCATCAGTTGCAGATTTTAGCACAACTAATAGGATTTTCCGTTTTTTTCAGTGTTCCTAACATAAAGGTTTGAGATGACAGAAATGCCAATTACTCTGATTGTATCAACACACATTATTTCTTGCATGTAAGTAGCATACCGTACCTCAAAGCATGTTTTAAATATAAGAAGGAAAACATAATACATACTTTAGATACAGCCTGGCTCTTTAAAAGTAAAGTCTGATTTTTAGATTATCTTATGTGTATGAGTGCTTTGCCTGCATGTATCTATGTGTATCATGTATACCTGGTGCCTGCCGAGGTCAGAAAAGGGTACTAGATTGCCTGGAACTAGAGTTATGGATGGTTGTGAGGTAATCTGACAGCTGAGACCTGAGTGAGCCATAGGAATCTAGAATTTATAGTCACCTAGTCACAAGAACAGGTGGCTAGAGACACACACCTTGCAGCTGGCATGTGAAATGGACACATGTTGGGCACTGACTTTGTACCTGGTAACAACTCTGCTGACTTTGGGTGGTTCCAGTGAGACTGCAGCAGACAACAGGAAGTCTCACCTGTCCTGGATTGTCAGAAAGGAATAGTATATCTTGGCAGTGATATAAACTGCTCCCTCCCCACTCATCTTCCTGTTCCAGTCCTGGGATCCTGTCCTGCACACCTCAGCTAAGAATTCCTGCTCACTCTTAAGCTCCAGCCACTTATACTTGTGCTTCATGAAAAGGTGGGGGCTCTAAGCACAAGGTTCTCTCTGTTACCTCCCAAGGAACTTGATCATGCTCTCCTGCTCTGCCCCCATTTTGGCATCTTATTGATCATCCACCTATAACTACAGTTTCCTTTCAGTCTACCTTTCCCCATTTCAAAATGATTTTTCCATTCCTTTCACTAACAAAAACAACCATCTTCTTCAAAATGACTGTGATGTTTTGAATAAGAATGTCCCCCACCCCCATATATTTGAATGCTTAGTCACCAGGGAGTGGCAATATTTGAAAGGATTGGGATAGGAAGTGTGGCCTTGTTGAAGGAAGTATGTCACTGGGAGTGGGCTTTGAGGTTTCAAAAGCCCATGTCAAGCCCAGAGTCTCTCTCTGCCTGTGTATCAGGATATACCTCTCAGCTACTGCTCCAGCACCTGCCTGCATGCCAACTGCTCCCAGCCTTAATGAAAAGGGACTAAACCTCTGAAACTGTAAGCCAGCCCTCAATTAAATGCTCTCTATTATAAGAGTTGCCTTGGTCATGGTGTCTCTTCCCAGCAATAACACAGTGACTAAGACAGTGACTGATTAGCTGAAAGTACAAAAGTAACAAAATGAATAACTAAGCCAAACAAGATGAAAGTGACAAGTACCACTGTTTCTTTTAGAGGTATTTATACTTCAAAAGAAGACAACTTAAAACAAAATTTTAAAGTTCCCGAGAACAGCAAGAAAACAGGCTACAACTTTATTGATTTTTAAAACCCTCTAAAGAAGTAAGATGCTTCTATTCCTAACTTTCTTAGTCAACCAGGACTACAAAGAATCATAATTTCCTGTGCTCAATCTCCCTTCCTTCCACACAACTCTACAGCTTTCCTCAACACGGCTCTGCGCACCCTTAATTCCTATGTCTAGACTTCCTTGGATGTTTCAGGGACTGAAAGCTAAGAAAGTCGTCTCTATTGACAAGTTGGTCTTCAGAAGTTAGCTTAGTCCTCTTGGTCTTGTGTTAAGGAACTTGGAAAGCTTAGGAATACCAACAGAACTGACTGATACTAACCTGCTGAATATTTCTTTTCAAACTGTCTTTTAGTTTGGTAAATAGAACATTTATATCTGACTGCTCCAGAACAATGCAGAAAATATGGGCGTTGGGAGAGATAATTGGAATGCATTTATTTCTCAAATTTCTGAAGTTTAATGGGCAATGCACACTGGTAAGAATTTTTTTAAAACTTGCATTTAGTTGATGGGAAGGGAAAGACACTAATTAAAAATAACTCAACAACACAATTGTGTTTGTTGCAAGCAATCCTAATTAAAGTCAATGGGTCTGGGTCTGTCTCTCACACATACTTGAAGACATTATAGCAGAAGGAGGATGAGCTGGGAAAGGGGAGTTAAGGAGGGAGAGGGGACAAGAGAAGGTAACTGGATGTGAATATGATCAAAATACATTATTTACATGTATGAAATTGTCAAAAAATTAAAAATAAAAGATATATACAAAAAAAGGACATTAGCAGAGTTAATTATTCACTTACAAAAGGCATAGGAAGGAAATAAGGTTCAGTCCAGCTCTATTTATATAAACATATCATTACTAAAATGAGGCCACTTAAAATTATGGGCAAGGTGTATGAATAGAACCCAAAGTCAGTGGCTGTTCTGGATAACACAGCTTTAAATATCAATTAAAGCCAGGATGACACCACTATCTGGTACCAGCTGGTGCTCCTTACTTCATGTGGAGCTTATACAAACCATGGTGGGTGTTATGGGCAGATAGGAGTCTGAAAGCATTTGGCATGAAGGAAATTCTTGCCCAGGACACTCAAAGGCTACAGTAGCTTTTAAAACCTGAATCACAGAGTAACTACATTTTCCCCAAAGGGCCTTTCTTTGACCTTCCAGAATAAAGACTCTCCCTTTTATAAAGTTAAAGAAGTCACAGTGGTGAATCTATGGGGGAAAAAAAAGTATTATCTGTGGTATGTTTCAAGCCCAAGGTTACTTCCTTGGCCTTGGCAAATTACACATCTGTGATGTATTGTACAGAGTCCTCCAAACCAATCTGGAACACAAATGAGAGTCTCCCCTAAATCAAGTAAACATTATAGCCACCCTATTTTGTTAACCAATTGCTTTCTGAGTCAGTAAGGAAGTGGTTTTCTCTAAACGGTGAAACTTTCTGAGCTTGTTGGAGTCTGTATTCACTGGCATTTGCCTGGAAGACAAGAGCAGCTGCTTACTTTTTACATAATAGATCCCAGATCCAACTTCTCAGCCTACAGCATTCATAGTCTCATCAGTTTAGGGTGACCTTTCAGTATAAATTTGCACAGTTCAAAACTGTTCTCTTTCCACTTACCTCACTGAAAACTTAAGGTTTCTTTCATAACAAAGGGCTTTAGCATTTTCCTTATTAAGCATTGATTATAGTTTTGTGCTTAATGCTATTCAAACAGAGTATATCCTAGTGATATTTTTATTTCTACCATTACTAGTTATAATTAATATTCAGCAGAAAAAACTCTTCCTGTAACTTAATATTAATTGCTAGGTCTTAGGGGCTGGGGAGATGCTTAATTGGTAAAGTGTTTGCCATGTAAGCAGGAGGACTGAGTTCAGATCCTTAGCACCCACAATAAACAAACAAAACAAAAACAACACCAAAAAACCAAACCCTACGTTCAACTGTACGGGTCTACAATGCCAAGTCCTGGAAGTCAGGAACAAGAGACCAGGTGAACACCAAAGTCAGTAATAGATCCTGTCTCAAAAACTGAGATGCAAAGCAATTGAGGAAAACAAACCCCACTCCCCACACAAATACACACATTCATGTGCACAAACTGTTGCATCTTATTAGAAATCAACTGATACTTAGACTATCTTAAAGGATGCTATCAAGATGAGAAAAAGGAAGAAGGTGAAAAGAAAACTAGGAAGCCATGAGAAATCAACAGAAATATGAGACTCACTTCATAAGTTCTAGAGGGTTGCACTGAGCCTGTACATTAGAGTTGAAATACAAGATAGCAGCAAGAGAAAATTCAGCCCACAAAGGGGCTTTGATAGTGACCTCAAAATTACAGTGCAATACACAGGTAACACATTTGCTAGAAGGGTCAATAGCCAAGGAGATAGTTATGGTAGAATACAGAATACAAAGTAAACTGAAAGCAAAGCCCAGCTAAGAAGATAACACATGTGCAAGTCCTGTAGTGAGTTTTCAGTAATTATGGGAACACAGCAATAACTGTTTTTATTATTGATCTGAGTTCAACTAGAAATCAAAACCAAAGCTGTATTATGTTTCAACAAGTATTCACTCAATAATTTTACAAATCAGGATCTTGATGTATGATATCATTCTGTATGCTGTGAAAATGTGTTTTTCTGATTGGTTGATAAATAAAGCTGTTTGGCCAATGGTGAGGCCGAATAAGGTTAGGCAGGACATTCTAAAGAGAGAGAGAGGAAGGAAGAAGACAAAACAGGGGAGACGCTGCTAGCCGCCACCAGAAGCAAGATGTAAAGGCACCGGTAAGCCACGAGCCATGGCAAAGTATAGATTTATAGAAATGGGTCAATTTAAGATATGAAACTAGATAACAAGAAGCCTGCCATGGCCATAGTTTAAAAATAATATTAGCCTGTGTATGTTTATTTGGGTCCGAGAGGCTGTGGGACTGGTGGGTGACAGAGATTTATCCTGACTGTGGCCAGGTGGGACATAGGCAAACTACCAACTACAGGGTCTCTTGTCATTTGATGTTGCATCTGCGAGGTTAATTGGCCCATGAGCTTCAGAGATTATCCTGTCTCCATCTTCCATCTCACAGCAGGAAGGCTGGGATTACAAATACAAACTACTGTATCTACATAGGTTCTGAGGATCTAAATTGGGGCCCTTAGGATTGTGCAACAAATGCTTTAACCATTGGGCCATTTCTGCAGCCCTCAACCAGTAACTTTAAACCAGAGTTTCTTGGCTTAAACACTACTGACATATTAGGCCAGTCTGCTTTGACATGAGATGCTGTCTTATACCAGCACTGCAGTGTGCTCAATGGCATCCTTGACCTTGACCTACTACTGGCAAAAAGAATTCTTTCCTCACTTTGAAGCTTCAAGTACATACAGGTTAGTATCCACTACTGACCAACTGATCAGTAACCATTTTAATACTAGACACCTAACCTTCAAAGAGAAAATAAAGACACAGTAAAAGTCAAAGAATGAACAAGATAAGCCATAAATGTGGCAAAAATACAAACCTAAAACGCCAATTTCAAGACCAGCCAGGCCTGTCTTAATTTTATCATAAATATCATCCAATGTAAAGTCAACAGCAATGGTTCTTGTTTCCACTTTGAATTTTTCTTCTGGAAGAAAAAAAAAAAACAGACAAATGATGAGAAAAAAGGAAAATTAATACATGGCAATTATGATTAAATCACTGGGTAACATTATCCTTTCAAACTCCCCTCCCCCCTCCAATTTGATATGACATTTAGAGCAGGGTAATTTTGAGCAATCATGAGACCATCTAAGAGATAACAGAAAGTCAACAAAACAATAGTTCAGCAATTAAAAGTTCTAGCGTCATCACTAGGCTGCCTGAGTATGCCTTGTCAATTCTCCTCTTGTAAATCAATAATGGTAATTACTTTTTCAGACTCAGGCATGATTCATATCATAATATTATATATTCTTTAAATATCATTTCCTTTGTGATTTTAATTGCAAATTGATGCCTCTCAATCTCAGGAAGAAGTCTTTATGTTGTAAAGTAGCTTTTTTTTTTAGTTTTTTTTTTTTTTTGCTTTGTTTTTTGCTTGCATATATGTCTGTGTAAGGGTACCAGATCCCTGGAACTGGAGCTACAGACAGTTGTGAGGTGCTGGGAAATGAATCCAGGTCCTCTGGGAGAGCAGCCAATGCTCTTAACCACTGAGTCATCTCTCTAGCTCTCTTGTAAAGTATCTTAAAGTGTGACACATTAAAAGAAAAAATTCATCTTAGTAAAAGGAATGTGATCTTACTGTAGTCTTTGGATTGGTTAACAGTTAAGGCACTACATTTAAAGAGCAACACAAAGTGCACAGTAATAAATATATGAAGTGACATAAAAACAATCTCAGTGCTGTCCTTTTCTCAAAGCCATTAAGGTCCCAAGAGCTGCTGATATTGGAAATAAGAGTGAGACCTGGGGAAACACACATCAAGGGTATCATACAACATTTACTTCCATCTTCACTAGCCAAACCCTCTGAAGAATGCAGGCTCTGAGGTCACAAAGATGCCAATCTCATTCCCATACTTCTTTATAGAATGACTATGAGCAAGACAGACATCATCTAGGTGCCCCAGCATCCTCTGTACAACAAAGTAACCAGTGCCCAGCGTAGGCAGGCCACTGGGCTCAGAGGATGACACTGGCACAGGAGGCACTTCACAAATGCTAGGACTTCCCTTCCTCTACCACCTTGCCCTCCCTTCCAATAAAAGGCGAATAATGCTCTTCTTTGACCTAGAGTAATTCAAAAGAATCCATTTAAAAAGTCCTGCTTCCAAAAATAAACCTTTCTTCAGTGGAAGTCAATGTGAGCCCATCATGCAGTTTTCATGATGAATCCTCATAGGAAATGTCCATTCTTGATCTCAATGGATTTGTGGCTAAAACGAAAGAGCTGGCTTGTGACAGATTAGATTTTTAGTCAGACTCAATAAAAAGTATTGACCCTATATAGAAATCCATGAATAACCTGGAGTGAAGAACTGAACAAGAAATACCTTTCCTGGTGTTAAAGGTAAACACACTGTTCCTGTACAGTCAGTATGATGTGTGTTCATGTACTGGAGAATGAACGGTCACTTAACGCTGGGCCAATTATATCTTATTAGAAAATGCCTCAAAGAACTCCCCACTCTACTTAACATTGACATTAAAACAGTCCCAAATTAACATGGAAAAACAAGCCCCTAAACAAAAGACTAAAAGATACATTATATTCAATGTAAAACTTTATTCAAGAATAAAATAAGATACCTATAGCTATTTGATTTGAAAAGCAATGCATTTGTCCCACATAAGTACTAAGTAAGTATCTCTAGAAACAAAAGCCCCAACACACCATTCAGATTCACCCTGGGTAGCACATAGGATTTGGTGAGGGCGCTTGCATTAGTGTACATCATTGGATACACATGATGATAAAATCAATTTGATGGACTTTTGAAAAGAAGGTTCTGGAGTGAAGAACTTCACGAAGCTTTCTTTGCGTTCACACTGGAACAGGCAACATGGTTCCTGATGCAAGTTTTTCAAGATAATTAAATTAAAAACTACCTTATTCCTGGATGACCTCAAATCATGTTCTAGTCCACAAAGCACTACTTCTTTTTCCTTTTAGCTTTTCTCCACTACTGCCTCTACTATAGGCCTCCCTATAAAGCCCTTGGTAAGTAGCCTGCTACTCCTCTCTGGGCTCCAGCTGTCCTTCCTACCACTCCCCAGTTCTAGGCAAGGGCTACTCATAGTTCCTTGAAGACACTGTGTTCCGAATACATGCAGGGCCTTTGTACCTCCTTTTCCTTCTGTCTGGAATGTTCTTCCAAATTCCTTCTCTATTGTGTCCTTGAGCAACTATTCCCTTCTCAGAGAAGCCTGGCTTGCCCAGCTTTTGAAACATACAGCTACCCTCCCTTAGCACCACGACCCCCTTGCTTTTAGTAAGTATGCAGTTGCTTGTCTATCTGCCCCTGGTAGAACTGAGTTTCTAACAGACAAGCACTAGGCTCTGTTTTGAGACGTGGGATCAACAACTTCCCCGCTATGTTCTCATCTCCTTAGGTTCATTCCCCTTGATTCAATGAGGGCCATTCAAAATATCACATGCTGATGACAACGTCTAGTGGAAGAAGATGGACATTTCTGTGGTAAATCCCTTTCACCGACAGGAATATCTTCCCCGAGGAATCCTGGAGACATCTAATCCATTTCCTTTCTGAGGACCGTGTTCTTGACCAGGCCCAGGCCCAAGCCTTGAGGGTCCCATGAATGGGTCCCACATCCACCAAGCGGTGGGAAGGGAAAATAGCAGTGCACACCAGACAGGGACAAAAACTCCTCTCTGTGCCTAAGCACTCAGATGGGAAGAGAGTGCACATGTCCCAAAAGGCTGATATGGTGAGTGTCTAGCACTTGTTTTATTTATTTTTTAAGACTATAATTGCATAATTTCCCCTTTCTCTTTTCTTCCCTCCAAACCTTCCCACAGACCCCTTTTTGCTCTCTTTCAAATTCATGGCCTCTTTTTTCACTGATGATTGTGAGGTGCACATATGCATATGCATATATTTTTAAGCACAACCTGCTCAGTCAGTGTAATTTATATATGTATATTTTCAATGCTGGCCATTTGGTTTTAGATGACCACTTGGTGTACTCCTCTCCAGGGAAGACTATTTCTCCCACTCTCGGAACCTCTTAGTTGACTGTAGTTCTTTGTGTAGGGTTGAGCCTTTGTGGGAGTTCCCCCATCCACTTGGGCATGTCTATTGCTGTTGTCCTTGTTCAGCTCCTGCTTAGGTAGACTTAGGTTGTGAGACTTGATGAATCGCTCCTGACATTAGTAGACACAATGACATAGCAAATTCCCTTGTCCTCTGAGACAAGGTCTTTTCACTTCCCCTTCCACAGTGTTGCAAACTTGGGTGCAGGGGGTTGGTTTTTTGTTTTTGTTTTTATAGATCTATTCACTGGGAGGAAGTGCTTAGCTTTTTAAGAAACTAGGGAAATAATTCTAGACTAGGCACATCATTCCCCTACTCCTAACTTTGCTTCTGATCCCACCAACAAGACAGACTAATTGGCAAGAATTATCTAACTTTGAACAGCACAAGGGTGGAGTAAACACCAAGAACAGAAACATCTACCACTATATACCTACAAAATATAAGCAACCCTTAATGCCACCTTTACGTCACTACCTCCCCAACCCGTTTTTCCACATCCAGTTCCAGCAGCAGCCATCTGCTGGGGAAAAACAAGAACTACATCAAAGCCTCACTCAGCAGGACTGATTTGTGGCCACTCTGATCCTTGTCCCTTGGGTCTCACCCTTCAGAGACCCAAGGAATGACAGAGATTCTGTCAAATCTCTTCCAGTAGGAGCTATCATAGAATAAAATCAATAGAAACAGGCGAGTAGAATAAACACACAACAGAATTTGGAGACTGCTGTGGACATGAGAAGAGCATGTCAGTTGCTTCAACAAGGAAATTCTTGTCCCAACCAGGGCATCAGTTCAGTCAGCAGGCAGTTCCTCTGGGATTGCCTGGCTCAAGATCATATACCCTTCTGATGGGTCCACATCCAAGTAATGATCATGGCTGGAGTATAAAGACACCGAGTATAAAGCTTTACTTTTCAGGCAATTCCCTAATTAGAGCTAGGAAACAGATAAGAATCATGACACTAGTCTCCTGTTATTCTTCTGTCCTTTCATAATAGCCTGCTTCAAGCTTTAAGACAGGTTTTAATATCTGCAGCTGGACAAATCTCCTTGGTTGTTCTTCCCTTCCAAAAATTTCTTGCTTATCCTCATCTGTTTAGTCTTAGTTTTTATTGAGTTTGCACTAAGCAATAATAATAATAAATGGTTCAAGGAGAAATCTTGTGGTTTTAGATTCTTAAGAAAAAGAACTGAACCACTGGGGAGGCTAGGAGATGGCTCAAAGGGTACTATGATGCTATGGCTATCCCATGACCTCTAGGGATGCGTACTCTGATGTGGCAGCCATCCCATGACCTGTAAGTACGGATACTCTGATGCTACAGCCAGGTTATTGTTTCTGAGTATCCTGAATGAGTCTGAGATCAAGTCTAGAACTGAATCCGCCATACTCTGAAGATGTTGCTGAAACAGCTTTTATATAAAAACCAACACATGGTTCAAGTGCATAAAGGTCATAAACACTGAGAAAAATAGAATGTTTAACATTATTCTAGTCTATGCATTGTTACTTTCATTTTGTTCAACAAACTGATAAATTCTGAACTTGAATCTCCTTTGTCTAATAACTTTATACACTTTTGGAAGATTTCTTGCAAATCTCTCCCCCAAGTAGCTGGAGATATTAAGTATGAAAATACTAGAGTATGCCTAATTTACATAAACTTGTGTATTTGTAAGTTTTCTATCAATAAAACTGAAAGAACATTTCTTTTCCCTGGTCTCTAACTCTGCTCCAATACATCTGTGTTCCCTAGTAAGTTTCAGATTCCATCCATGTGGTGACTATTCTTGATTGTCAGCTTGATTACATCTGGAATTAACTAAAACCCAAAAAACTGTGCACACCTCTGAGGAATTTTTCTTGTAATTAAGTCACTTGAAGTGGGAAGACTCACTTCTAATCTGGATCTTTGAGGTGGGAAGATCCACCTCTAATCCACCTTTAATCTGGACCATACCTTCTGCAGGCAGCTTATATAAAGGACAGGGGAGAAGCAGAAAGCTCTCTCTGTCTCTCTACCTGCCTACTCTTGCTCTTTACTGGCATTAGAGCCTACTTCTTCAGGATTCTGGCATATACTGAAGACCAGTCGAGACATCTAGCTTTGAGGACTGAACAATGACTAGATTCTTGGTCTGGCCATTGTTGGGCTAGCTGGACCAGTCTGTAAACCATTCTAATAAATTTCCTTTATATGCAGATTCATTCTATAGGCTCTGTTCCTCTAGAGAGCCCTGACTAATCCAATCCATTATGAAATTCTTGTTACTTTACCCCATCTTTTCTGTATTGTAACACCATCTAAAGCTCAAGTCATACAATGTGTGGACACATTTTTTAATGATTCCCATTTCCTTCAAGAAAAAGATTCTTCCTCTTAGGTATATATTCCTGGAGACCTATATAACCTCATCAGGCACACACCATGTATATTTAGCATGGAGTCTCCACTTCCTAACAGGGATAATTTTTATTCTTTGTTTTCTCAGCACCAAGTGAGGTACTTGGCATGCAGCAGACATCTCTCTGCTATGGAAGCTGAAAGAATATGGAGGCAAGCATAGCTGGTTCAAACAGCCATCTTCTCCATGACTCCTACCCTCCCCATAGAAGTCAAACCATGTGCTTCCAGGACTGTTCTAGAGGACATACTTTAGACAACTCAGCTCTTTCCCTCTTAATACTCCCATAAATTTAAACACACTCGAATCCTAAGATCCCTTAGAAACCAGCCTTAACTCACGGGATAGAATGAGAAGGTTGAGGCTATTTGTCATGGGTTAGTCTCCCTACACCAGTCCTGTAATGAGTGAGAGGATCTTAGGCAAACAGTGCCACAGTTAGTGATCATCAATTTTAGGTCTAAACTTATGAAGTTTCGTTTAAGTACAAACATATCTTGTGTGTTTAAAAGAAACTTTATTTTCACACAAAATTACACATTTTATATATGTAGAGATGTGAAAAAATACAAATCTTTTGTACTCTTTTTATTTTTTAAGGGGAAAAGACAAAGACTAAAAAGTTCCCTAACCAAATCTTTATTACTGTCTCCTTCTTTACCTTCAGATCTGATCACATTTTCCAACGTCACCCATCTCCTAGGGTGAGAAATCTCCACATCTCCCCACAGAGAAGACCTGCCTTTGGGCTCTGGAGGAAAGGTGATTGCACCCAGTAGAGAATGACAGCTCTGACTCCATGCTAGAAGGTTCCTTTAGTTATAATTATCAAAGATATTATACAAATAATGGTCTGTTCTTTTCACTGCCCTTGAAAAAATATTCATAATACTTTAAATCTTTTGTGAAGAGACCCACTTTCAGTCAAACCAAAAAAAAATTAATCACAGCTCATTAGGATTCCATCCCCAAACAATCACTTCTTTATTTGAAGCCAAGGTTACAATATTTTATTCATTCCAGTGCCTATAACTAGAAGGAGCACTAGCAATAAAGACTTCACACACAGGCCCGCTCCACCCTCATGGCAGCGATATCTTCATTCTTTGAAAGCTGAACTCAACACTTGCTCAGGCCTCTCCTGAAGAAATTCTTTTGAAAAGATGCTATTTTCTCCACCTAAAAAAACCTATCTGCCAATGGAAGCACCTGAATTATTTGTTTGTTTAGAGGGGAGGGGAAAAACAGAAAAAGAAAATTCCACTACTGTGCTTCAGGCCACAAGATGATATTGCCCGGAGCATAGAAACAGAGTTCATTGCGAAGGGATGGATAAGATGCAAGCAGAAGGCCAGGGCCTGAGTGCTAGCTCCAGGAGCGGTGGACAGAGGGCCGCTCACTCAAATCTTTCAGCTTTCACTCCATCTCTTGGCCTGTGAAGCATAGGCGATGCTATCCATCCTGCATAGTACCTGCAAAGATGTCTTGTGATAGCATGTTAAATGTGCCTAATGAAACTCTAAGGTCAAGTGTATTCTTATGTCTACATAATATGGTACCAGTGTCTACAAAGATGGTGGTCTGATGCATGGCTGTTTCTTCCTTACTAACATGGCTGCTGTAGGTATTATTTATGCTGTTAATTCTGCAACAGCCCCCACCACCACCCCTCACGCCAATGCTGGCCATGAACATCCCAACTCTACTTTTAAAATTGATTTATTTATTATGTTATCATCCATGGGATCCATGTCATAGTATTCTTTTTTTTTTTTAAGTTTTCCCTTCGATGCCCAGCTAGTTCTTTGAATTAGGTTGCTTTAAATTAGACTATCGAATCACTATACTTACCTATTCAAAAATGTACATTAAATTTCACTTTTGATCTTTGGAATCATAACATCTTACAACTGACAGCAAGTTTGCTTTCTTAGTGCTTGACTTAGTCACTGTTCTATCGCTGTGAAGAGAAACCATAACCAAAACAACACTTACAAAAGAAAGCATTTAATTGGGGTTTGTGTATAGTTTCAGAAGTTTTGTCCTGCTGTGGGATGTTCTGTATGGCAAGTGTTGCTCTGATTGGTCAATAAATAAAATACTGATTGGCCAGTGGCTAGGCAGGAAGTATAGGCGGGACTAACAGAGAGGAGAAAAGAAAGAACAGGAAGGCAGAAGGAGTCACTGCCAGCTGCCACCAGGACAAGCAGCATGTGAAGATGCGGTAAGCCACGAGCCACGTGGCAAGGTGTAGATTTATGGAAATGGATTAATTTAAGATGTAAGAACAGTTAGTAAGAAGCCTACCACGGCCATATAGTTTGTAAGCAATATAAGTCTCTATGTTTACTTGGTTGGGTCTGAGCGGCTGTGGGACTGGCGGGTGACAAAGATTTGTCCTGACTGTGGGCAAGGCAGGAAAACTCTAGCTACATTGTCCATTATCATCAAAGCAGGAACGTGGTGGCAAACAGGTGTGATACTGGAGAAGTGGCTGAAAGCTACATCTGTATCCATAAGAAGAGAGAAAGAGAGAGAGAGAGAGAGAGAGACAGACAGACAGACAGACAGACAGACAGACAGACAGACAGACAGACACTCTGGACCTGGCTCAGGCTTTTAAAACCTCAAAGTCCACCACCAGTGACATACCTCCAATCCTTTCAAACAGTTCTACCCCCTGATGACGAAGCATTCAAACATATGAGCTCTTATTCAAACTACCATAGTGCTTGTAAGTGCCATGACTGCCTTGTCATCAACAGTGTCTCAGATTTGATAAAAGAAGCCCATGACATTGTTGACACCCACAGGACAGCATTAAGGAGAACAGATCCCAAACGCAAGATTCTGGACATCTCAGAGCTTGTAACTGGCCTTCCATTACTAGTAAGGGAAGCATGACCTGAAATGAACGCAGGCTAACACTCACTTCTCAAAGAGGCATTGGCAGCCAGCAGAGCACCTGCTCTGAAAGTGCAGCATGAGGCAGGGGTTAGTGCCTGGGTTTGTTGCTGCTGTTTGTTTTTCATCTTCATCACTCAGTGTTCAACAGTACCTGGTATATGTAACAAGAGTTCTGATTGAATCACTTCAAGAAATACACTGAGTATCACCCACATGTCAGGCTTCACCCTAAGGACAACAGCTAATACCCTCAATTGGTGAAAGGGATGTATGCTGTTGTAATAAATGTGAACAGATTATCAAAGAGAAAGCAACTCGCTCATGCTGAGTACAATTTTTAAATAGGACATGATATTTGCATGGGTTTTTTAAAAAGGAAAAACTGGAACTAGCCATCCAGAAAAGTAGAAAAAGACAGAAACTGGAGAGGGAAAAAAATTACATGTTATAAGAACACCTGTGGATGCCATGTGTGGTGTGTGGTGATATATTATGTATCCTAAATAAAATTTGCCTGAAGATCAGAGAACAGAACAAGCCACTAGATTAAACATAGAGGTCAGACACACCTTTAATTCTAGCACTCAGGAGGCAGAGATCTCAGTGGGCTCCAAGCCACTCTGGACTACATGAGATTGACTCAGTCTAGGAGAGAAAACAGAGCCAGGCAGTGGTGGCACACACCATTAAGCCCAGTACTGGAAAGCACACATGCCGATAATCCCAGGAAGTGATGGCTGGGTGGAGAAAGCTATATAAGGCATGAGGAGGCAGAAACATAGGGGTAAGAACATGGCTTTTCAGCAGCCATGTTCTTACCTCTATGAAATCCTCAGTCTCAAGAAAGCGAGTTCCTGTTTCCTCATGCCTTATTTATCTTTCTGTGTAGTTGGAAGTTTTCCTGTGTCCCAGCTGGCCAGTGGTCGGGACAAATCTCTCCCACTCATGTCCCCCAAGCAAACACACAGAGGCTTATATTAATTGTAACTGCTCAGCCATTAAGTCAGGCTTATTACTGACTAGCTCTTACACTTAAAGTAACTCATAATTCTTATTTATGTTTAGCCATATGGCTTGGTACCTTTTCTCAGTTCTGCCTTGACATCTTACTTCCTCTGTGTCTGGCTAGCAACTCCTTGCTCAGCCCATCCTCTTCCCAGGATTCTCCTTGTCTGTTTGTTCCACCTATACTTCCTGCCTGGCTACTGGTTTATGGATATTTGTCTTTGTTTAGAGATTTGTCCCAACCTCCGGCCAGCCGGGACACAGGAAAACTTCTAACTACATTTCTGTGTCCTGCTATATTATTTCCTGGGATTAAAGGCAAGTGTCCTTCCCAAGCAAAGACATGAGATCTCAAGTGCTGGGATTAAAGATGTATATCCTTCCCAAGCAAAGACATGAGATCTCAAGTGCTGGGATTAAAGGTGTGTGCCACCATGCCTGGCTCTATTCTCAGTGTAGCCTTGAACTCACAGAGATCCAGAGGAAGCTCTGCCTCCTGAGTGATAGGATTAAAGGCGTATGCCACCAGTGCCTGACCTCTAGGTCCAATTTAGTGGCTGGCTTTGTCCTCTGATCCCCAGGAAAGCTTTATTGGGGTACATAATATAAAACCACATTTCCCCCTTTTTGTTTAAAATAATAAAAGGTTACAACTAATATAAGAAAAACTATATACAATTAGTACAATAACTATATACAATATACATAGGCAATAAAGACATCAACAAGGTCTAGTCCATTTGCATTTGACAAATTCATCAAAAATACTCCATTATCTATCCTATCTTTGTGAATTCAAAGGATTGTATCTAATTCACCTTCTATCCTAATTTGCATCACCTACAGAAAACTATCTTTTAATGTCTTTCAAACTTATACACTTTACACCTCTTTAGTATGTTTCTTTTCTGAATTTGTTAGCAAGGAAAACTATAACTATCTAATCTTCAACTTCCTCAGAGACCCGAGAAAAAAATAATATTACCTAAGTAAGCAGGAAGTGGGAACAAGCAACTTCCAAAAAATGTAAGAAATGACAGAACAGCCAGCCTTCTGTTCAGTCACTCAAGATTTCTCTGCAACATTGGGGCATCCATCTTCGACCTACAGGCCCAGCATATCTGACAGACTCATCTGTGAAGCAGGATTTTCTAAAGGGCCTTCCTACCTTGTCTTGGCATAGATCAGCAGTCCTTTCTTTGTGTCCTACTTGTCCATTTTGGACAGCATACTGTCAGCAGGCAAGTAAAGGGCACTTTCTTGTCCAGTGGCTGACTTTTTTTTTAAATTTACAAACTGTATGGCCTATGGCAGGCCTCATGCTAGCTAGCTCTTATATCTTAAATTAATCCATTTCTATGAATCTATGTTTTACCATGTGTACCAGTCTGCTGGCATGTTGCTCCTTGGGTGGCAGGCTGGTGTCTCTCTAGACTCTGCCTTCCTATTTCCTGTCTCTCTCCTTGGATTTCCCACCAGCCTCTAAGCTGCCTTGCTATAGGCCAAAGTGGCTTATTTATTAACCAATGGGAACAACATATATTCACAGTGTACAGAAAGATATCCCACAGCAAGTGACAGTAGACCATTAAACAAGAATGGGCCCTTCCAAGGGTGGAAGGTGGGGCCCTGTACAAATACACCCACCATGTACCTAGAAGATGGTCTTACGGCAAGTTAACATTTACCTAGTGTTATAAGCACTTAGCATCCTGTATGTTGTAACTAGTAAGCTAAGAGGTGACAAGATCACATCTGTTTTTCAGAAAAGACATGATGTGGCAGAATAGAGGACCTACACCTTATTATAAAAAGCAACAGGTGGCAGAGAAAGGACTAAACACCTGCTTCATTAGTCCCCAGAGAGAAGAGATCTGAGCAGAGACAGGCGTGGAGGTGGGAGACAGGCCAGTGTAGGGAAGACTTCCAAACGGGTGTCTGCAGGATTTCACACTAGTAGCTG